TTAAATACTAACAGTATTCTTAAATTGTAAATATCGAATACTTAAAACATTCATAAAATAAAATATCTATTAGTTTAATTAAAAATAAAGTAATTACTTTCGAACATACCGATAACTAAGAAACAATTTTTCAAGCATATTTTCTTGTCCACTACATTTTAATTAGATAATTATAGTTTTAAAGAGCAAAATTAGTAAGCCTCGTCGTAACTTAGAATGAATTCGAATCGATTGCAACTGTATAAATAATCGAGAATATAATTAGACGGAGAAGTATGCGCGAAGAATTTTGAAAAGTTTCAAGTATGTATTAATGAGACGATTCGTTAACTATGTATATGAAATGGCAAAATCTATATAGTTAGTTATTAATTATTATTTTTCGATTGTTCAATTTATTTGAGTTTTAATAAAACAAGATATTATATTTACAACGAATATTTCATCGCAGAGCCTGAAACAACTTATTTTTTGTGAATACAAATTTGATTTAAAATGTAATATTTATTATACCAAAAACATTTGAGTTTAACATTTACCAATCATTGCATTTCTTAACTTCATTTTAGTAGTTTGGGACACAAATATTTACAAAAAATATTCCTTTATATATCATAATATTATGTATGATATCAGGTATGTATCACGCTTTCGTTCCTGTATTTCTCTCAAATAATTATTGCTTTTAAATTCGTGATACAGTAAACTATCATTTATTAGTTTTGTTGTACTATTTATTTAACCTCCTTGTTTATCATAAATGATAATGTATATTTTAAAATATATAAATATAAATTTAGAGTTTCAGGTTGAAATAGTTTTGTTGTGTATTTAAATATTTAATCAACATTTTGATGATATTAAATATTATTTTGAATGACGTTTAGTATTACTGTAATAATTTAAATCAATTAATCTTTTTGTCTAAAACTATATAATATATGTTACATATTATTATTCAATTTGAAGCAACCATTTTAAACTAGGAAAAAAATCTTTGTACTTACATGAGCAGAAAAAATAAATTCAGCAACTTATGGAGCTAATAATTTTTATTTTTTTTCAACAGTTTTTACGAAGCTATCTGTTATAAGTAAGATGAATGAGCTTATTAGATGAAAATAAAAAAATGACATAAGAAACATAGAGAAGAAGCCTCCCTGTGGAATTACTTAAATATGAAATATTAGTCATAGCGTAGCTAATTATATTATTTTAACTATGTATTTGTATATTATTGTGTACAATATACTGCATGATAATAACTATTAAAACTATCCATATATTTATTTATTCTTGTGTTATATTTAATAAAATTAAAAAAATAATTGAATTATTGTTGATTTATAGATTTGATGTACTTTGTTAGATGCCTAATAGTATCTTTACATGGTATAAAATAAAATAAAACATAATATAATTTCGGGTCTGAAATAATACTCAAGAATACTCACAAAAAAGTACTTTTATTGGCATACAACATGGCTGTATCCATCAATGATATTTCTTATAACAATTTATTGAGTTTAATAAAACGTATAACAGTAAAGTTTTTATCCTTGAATTTAAGACAAGTAATTTAATTCCTAATATGTTTATCGTCTGTGTATAGATTCAATTACCAATACAATATGTAATACACATAATATACCTAATTGAAAATTATAACAAAAATGTCATAAAAAGTGAAAGTATGATAACTACGTCCAGAAAAAATAGTATTTACTATTCTAAAATTATTGTGTTTACGATATCGTACATCGTATACCAGGGAATATCACTCAAACCATCTGGTAGGTAATTATTTAATTATATTATATAATTTATATAGTATACATTTGTCGACAAACTATTGTTGTAAATTAAAAAATAAACAAAATTGTGCAACACGTCAAAATTATTTTTTAATCATGATCAAATTTTAGTAGCTTAAACTTTACCATTATATCAATATAAATAAATCTGATAAGTATTCGGTTGGTTTTTGTTCATGGAATTGTTTTTGTCTGTATTTATTTCAGCTTTTCATTAAATACATAAATATATTATTAAACATTTCCGTGTATAGGTATAAATATTTATTTTACTGTTTATTTCATCATAGTATGTACAAAGAAAACATTAATCATATAAATATTTAACTATTTTTTTTCCTAATCCATTATATGTTATAGGTACTTTAGAAATCATTTAGTTACATATTTATTACGTAGGTTTTTTGTTATTGTTGTTGTTGTTTAGTTTGCAGTAAGCGGAAATTCCGGGTTTATCTTTGCTGCTATCAAGGAAATTCCATTTGCAAAGGTATAAATGTCAAGAAAAATGTTTATACGGCTCAAATGGGATATTATGTTTGAAATTTATATACCCGTGCAGAATATAGTATGTTGGGACGGTTTACTCTGCGGGAATTAGGGATATCACATTATTTATAAGCAAATCTGAACTGTATTCAACGTAACACTTTAAGTCCAAAACGGTTTGCAGTTCTAAACTTTAATTTGAGCACAACAAACGTTAAACGGTAAACCGACGAGTCATCAAGACCACTGCTGCTGTAGTGGGATGATAAAATTGAAATATAATATTATTTTGGATCGTCAGTGGATTTTCGAAACGTTGAAGTTTGGTGAGTACACACTGCAAGGTGCGCAATATAATAATTGTATGTGTGCTCAAGACGAAATCGTAATATATTTTAGTGTTTGATCTGCTGATTCTGTCGAAACAGCCGAACAACCGTCGGGCCTACACCACCGCTATTGCGGGATGCCTAAAATACGGTTTGCGGTTGAATATTTTCAACGTTTTAACTGAACGCGTTTATCTAAGACACGACATGGGTAACATGTTATAGGTACTGTGTTCATATTTTGTTCAGAACTTTCATCACTTCACAATAATTGCTGATTCGCATTATATGAGAATACTGAAAGAGAACTCATCGTCGTCGACTTAAATATATTTTTATTTACGAACACGCAATAATGTAGCATCACTGTCATTTTATAATATTTTCTATTAAGATAATAACGACATTTTATTACGCACCTGTATACCACCGCCATCGAGATATTTTGTCAACTTTCTACTTCCGTCGCAAGCAAAATAATCATATTCTGTCTCGCGTGTTAACGAATATCATATCACTGCAGATCATCATAACTACTACGTGATGAATGTTCGAGAGTCATAACGTAACACTGTAATATTCGCATTACGAATAAAATGGCATACACAAACAGCCGTTAAGGATGGAAAGTTTCAAACATATTATGCTGCACGCTGGCGTGGCGTGCATTAATGTTTTAATCTTAGATTCCGAACGCGCTCAGGAAGTTATTGGCTCTAAAATGATGCGGTTTTTTTCCGAAAACGCTTTTTGAGGCAGTATAAAAGTACTCTAAAAGTTACGTACATAGACCCTTCATCGATCGGAAAGTAGACACAGATGGTGCTTACACAGGTCATTGTTGTAGATTCTCACAATATTTTTTTAGGGAAAATAAAAAAACTATACTAACGATATCGCACTTCAAGTGGAATTATTCCTGAGGTCAATTCTGTCGTGAGTCACACGCTTCGAATGCCGCATAGTTTCAATATTTAAATGCACATTATGTATTATTTTCACGTTCTCGTGAGACGTCCAATATTGAAAATAGACTGTACCTACCTATTTAATTTATCAGCTGTAACGTATTAAATATTCAACGATATGACCGGTGATCAGCGAAAATGTTGGATCACAGATCGACGTACAGTTCATAATGTCGAACACGGAACGTCTAATTTAAATAATTTTCAAAAAATCAAAATTAAATTGTAGTGCATGCGCATTGATATTACTGTGGTTCTTTCAAGATAACTCTACTTATCCGTTATAAAATAATAAATGAATTTGCACTCGTCAGAAAATGAGTAAATTTCTAACTTGTAATAATATTTATTTACACCCAATATATTGTATTTCGCACTGTTTGTACCAAACCATTTTCAGAGACAAAAAAAAATGTTGTGTCCGTGTAGCTGCCGTACGCTTGCGAATAAAATATAGTAAAAATGAACCTTTAAGGACATATTATTATGTATTTTACCATACGACGGCTTATATTATATACAAAATTGTTTGCACTGCGTTCAAAACTTTCAGGACTCATTTTTGAATGACAAAATATGTGTTTACATTACGCAAAATGCCAATACCACTATATTATACGTAATCAGCTCTACCGCGCTCGATGGTGATGACGATAATAATATTGACTATAAAATATTATGTCGTCGGCCGACGGTGCAGTCGACGACGGTTGACAGTTAATATAAATGCGGCTGTCAATACACGACAGTTTCGAAAGTGCTTAAATTAGTGGACAGAAGACTACATTATATTATTATATCATATTATAATATATTATATTATTTCCCTTTTTGTATACGGGTCAAAGTTCATTTAACGGACACATTTATGAGGTACCTAAGAGTATTATTATTTTTTGTTTTTTTTTTTTTTTCACCGAGTATGATAGAATTAATATTGAATTCAATTACGCTGCGGCTAAAGTGTAACATCAATTATAAATAAATATATTCTAATGATGCCAAAAGTGTATAATATTATAGTTTATTCCAATTAACTTATCAGTTATCAGCGCATTGTGCTGCAATAATCCGTTTGCACACGCCCATACGGTATTGAACGTTTCGAGCCCTTATTATTCGTTTCTATTCTATTATAAATAATATATAGTGTAGTGACAAGCGGCCATAATATATCCAATGTTAACTGGTCATTTTTTTTCTCACATTAATATTATATCAATTAAGACGTCAATCGGCCAGGATTGGAATCATTTTCACGTGCATTTTATTTAATTCACAAGCTCATACTATTGTTGTTAATATTTCCACAGTAATATTGTGTGCCTAGTCGATGATAATTATTTTTCTGACTTGTTGTGCAGCGAAACAGTAACAATAATGATAAGCACAAAACTGACCTTTGTTGAACGTCTGTATGGCGTCCGTGGGCAACCACTGCCGCCAATAGTGTCCCAGACCCGTGTAGTCAATCAACTGATTCTTCAAGGACCCTGGGTCATCGTGGCCAAGCACCGGAAACACGAACTGGCTGCTGAACGTTTGGACGAGCAGGTTAGTGACGTTCTGGATGGCCATCACGCGGGTAGGCAGATCAACGACGTCCGACGACACGGAGTCTCTGTAATAAGTACGAACAACGTTAGGACTAATAGAATATCGAGTGTTTAAATATTCGAATAACAAACATTTATTTAAAAATAAACGTACGAGTTAAATAATTTGTATATCGCCGTATGGACAATAGTGACACTATAATAAAATATAATATAATAATACAGTTCGTGGTTTCTTATCGCATTCGATAGATTCATATTATTATCTTGTGTATCTTTCTTATGTCATCGCGTTTGTCGAAACCGATCGATTTTAGTGAGCGCGTTTTTATAGAAATGCTAAGATCGTCAAAAATCAGAAGGTCTGTAATAATAAAAAACTTAACAGAAATTCAACTTTTTCAGTGAATAATGTACTTTGAAATTTCGTTTGAAAATATCAAATAACAACGATTCCAAAGAAAAATAGAGCGCTTGTAAAAATATGTTCTAATTTTAATTTTACATTTATAAGTCAAACGTATTCGATAACGCAGTGCATCGACTCGAATGTAGAGAAAAAAATCTCATTTTTTAGTGAGTTTTCGTATTATTTTTATTCTTACCGTTTCACTATTAAATATATCATGTGGTAAAAATGTCAGTGTGGGTTGTGATGTAGTATATAAGGGACTTTGCGAACGGAAAGGTCTAACACGAGGATGTTGCGGCTTTGGTTAATTTTTATTTAATGTATATATTTTTTTTCCCTTACACGATTTTTTTTTCTTTGCCTCTGTAAACAATGATTATTAATCTTTATGAGGTATGCGGCGAAGAAAAGAATTCGTGTTTTGCTCTGCAGTAAAACTTTTGTTCGTTCCCACTAACAAGCTATTTTATAATAATATTTAAAACACGCCTGTGCTCCACAACTTGACGTACTGGCGTGGAGGAGGAACGGCTAAAACATTGTTACCTAATGCTATTTCCAAAACATTCGGATTGCTACATTATGGTTGACAATAATCTATTATTGAGCGATATATATACATTTTTATTTTCGCTGTACAGCTTTACGTTTATGTTTGCGTTTGATGAGGGATTTGAGTTAAGTCACTATCAGCACTAAAACTCAGATAGTTATTTGCCAAATTGTTTATTGGTTTATTTTTGCATGGTTTTAGAGTGATTGAAAAATATATGACCAAGTATAAAAACGTAAATGCTGTACGGATAGCTAGTTCAACTAGAGTTTACAAATTGAATGAAACAAACAAAACAACTATTAAAAAAAAAAACTTTTTGAACTGCTAATCACTGTATTGTGCACTATATTTATGCGTTGGTATAAAGTGCAAAGCATATTTTTCATTACATTTTTATTTTATTTTAAATTCTATACACAAACTGCAGTAAAACGATCAAGGAGAGGATATTAGTTTAACAATGACGTGTTTGCATGTATTTATTTTTATACCTGGAAATATTTGTAAGTTTAAGTGAAGTGCTTCAATAACTAATTCATAGTTGAATACATTTACTAGATTGAAAATGTTAATTCTGTAGACAGAAAAATCTGTATTAAAATGGTGGTATGCATAAATATATTTTATTTTTTGTTTAAATACTTGCAGTGTCATTATAATATATTATTTGATGTCATTATTATTATTGCATGTTTAATGTTTGCTAGTAAATATAGTTGGCATAAAATATAATAAAGTATATTTGAATATTATTAGGCATGTTTATTTAAACGTGTACACATTTGGTAAGATGCTATGACAAATAATCAAACTCAATTGATGGAAAGTGGAAACTCATTATAAATATATTATGTTATTAAAATGGAAGAAACATTTGTTTAACTAATTAACAAAACCTATATTGAACGAATAATATTGTTTTGTGTTTACATTTAATAAGTAATAAGTATAAAATAATATTTATATAACATTTTTGAAAGTAAAAAAAACATTTAAAAAAAATAAAATCGATTTAGTACACAACTTTTTTATGAATTATTCTCATCACCTATTTAGTTAATTTTTTCATTTTCCAAAAAAAAATTGTCAGGTATTTTTGACAAATAATAAATATATTTTTAAATCGTGTGTTTCGTTTCGTTAGAAATAAAATCTTAACATTCTCAACTAATTCAGTCTATTAAAATAATAAATATTTCGACCATATAAACAATTTGTTTGGTTATATTTTATTGTAACTTGATTGGATGATTTTCTACTATCGTGAAACCGGCTGGATAATAATGAAAATATAAAAATATTTGTGTAGTCATGAAAGTATTGAAACTATTTAACGTTTAACCTTGAGTCACCAAATATATAATTTTGTTTATGTTACAATAGTTTTCCACTGGGGTATTTCAGGAAAAATCGGTGCTTGAAATTTAATAATTACAATAATGTTTGAATTCTTGAATTTGGGCTTCTGTTTAATAATTTAATGATCGCAAAGATCTTTTTTCGATGTCAGTGAAAGAATTTAATTCATTTACTATGAACGTTTCATCAATAAAGAACACAAAAATGAACACACAAGGCCATTTCGAAACGTCAACACGTAACTACTACTTAAGTTAAGCAAAGTTTGTAAGCAATCACGTGGGGCACATCGGTCCCCGTTTAAGACGCCCAATAATAGCCCAACAATAGGCCATGGAATTTTTGCTACCTATGTTAATATCGTAAAATTAATAAGTGATTGCTCGTTCTCAGATATTAATTTCCAAGTGAATCCAATCTTCTACACGAATAGTGCTTTTAATTCTACTCTCTAGAGTGCGATCAACGTTTTTTTTTTTTTGTTTTTTTTTTCAGATATTTTCGTAAGTAAGTAAGCTGGTGGTTACGAAACTATAGCATTGATTAGGGTCGGCTGACTCGAGTATTCCGATTAATATTGACGTTGACATTGATACCGGAGGAAATAAACAAAGGGCTTAAAAGTATATAATAATATTGAACAATACATAATATACTAATTCTAAATATCTGCATCAGTCAATGCAAGAAGATAGATTTAAAACGTCCCCACACATCTCTCTATATATTATAAGCCTACGTTAAACTAACTCGTGCAGTCGTGCGGTTTTTACGTTTTTTTTTTTTTTGAAATATTATTATAATAATTGAATTCACGTGCATAAAAATAGGGTTTGAAAGATACACTGCGAGTTGAACATAAATAATTGTATAAAAAGTTTCCGATGCTGATCGTGTTACATAAATCTTTTGAACGTGCCAGTCAGTGTGTGCAAACCAAATTGTTAGTTCAAGGGTCAGGCTTAATAGGCTATATTGACTGGGCGGATGTAACGGCTTTAGTGTTAATATAATTTACTTGAAAGGATAGGTAGGTGTGATATACGTATGCATGGCGGGTGAGTAAAACAATGAACCTTTAAGAGGAAAAACGTCATACTTCAGGATGCCAAAAACCATATTTTGTTGTAAATTTACTATTGATTACACCTTTACTACAAAATTTGAATAAATTGGGCTTGTATTAATATTAATTATATGTGAAAAAATTACCCACCGAGAATATACTTGAAATGTTCTCGAAAGTATATTATATATAGTTGTACTGTAAGTCAAATTGATAACGCACGTTTAAAGATTATAGAAATCACAATTTTCAAAAATATCGTGGATACACATGTTTATTTTATCACATTCAAAAAACTAAAACGATTTAGTTACTTTGAATCATTAAAAAAATATATATTCATAGGGAAAAATATAATACAATTAATTCTTGTGTTGAATCCGCTAAATTTAAAACATCGGTTGCATATTATTATCTAAAATAGCTGAATTATAATTTATAACTACGTATTAATATTTTTCAATAAATTATAGTTAATATCTTAATTTTTTCCTTGGCTATTACGTAGTAAATTTAAATTACCTACTGTGAATATTAAAAATCAAATTTACTACACGCGTTTATTTCAAATCGAGTTTGCTAATAACTTGAGCTTTATTTTTATTGATCCCTTATATAATTAATTATTATATTGTACGTCACAACTTATGTCCCTACTCTGATTAATTTTAAAATTTAATTTTCTTCGTACCGATCAAACTTAGAAACATAAATTACTAGGTCCAATTCCCTGATGTCATTAAACTGTTAGTCCACTGAAATATTTATTAATTTGATAACAACTATAGAATAAATACTGTCATCAATTATCGTAAATTATTGTGAATATATAAAGCGTTTATGTGGAATGTAAAAAATAATTAAAAAATAATTACTTTAGGTAAAAATTATATTTTATTCATAACTCTTGTATCTTTTGATCACTTTAATTATATTAAATCTGGTTATAAAATGCATGTATGATTTATAACAGAACGAATATCCTAATTACGTTTTTGTTGATATACATGCAGTTGGGTACGTATATTTTAATTTTAAATTAAAATGTTATTTGTCATTACATCATAACATTAGTATTTTAATTTATAATTTTAGAAACGGATTTGCATTAAACGTGTTTGTTCAGAATTTAAAAATTATATCACGTATTCGAGCAAAAGTTGAGAATACCGTTTTAGTTTAAGAAACTAAAATAAATGAAAATAGAATTAAAAATGTAATTTTATTAAGCACGAAATGTAGATATATATTTACCGACCGTAATGTCGCTTGTAAATTATTAACAACATACAGGAATTAGCTAAGACTCAGCAACACCAACGAATCCAGGTTTTTATAATCAGGCGGAACCATATTGTCTCCAGCCTTATTATCAAATAATATTAACTTTTTATACTAGCCTTCGTTATTTAAATCAGTTCATAATATCAGGTCACGGGGCTTTAAGTTTCTTAGGTATCATTTAGGTCACACAATTAAACGGTCGCGGACAAAAAAAATGCGATATTACGTACTAATATTGACCTCAGATATTATGTCAGACAAAAACTAGATTGAAAGTGCAAGTCAATACAAAAACGACTTTAAAATTTTCGATTTCGTATAAATTTCAATTCATACCGACGACCATGTATGGATTCCGGACCACTGAATCGCACTTTCAAATAAATTC